CTGTTTACTTGATTTCTCCATTTTGTGAATAATATATATTGTTTCTATAAAAAATATTTACGCTTGGGACAATTCATATGCTTATGTGTGCTTTGATATTCAAGACACACGTTAACAACATTTAATTTTACTTGACATGTTTGATATTTTAATGTTTTTTTTTTATCTTACCTTGTATGCAAGTTGCAGTTAAAGAAACACTCCACTGTCCAAATTTAATGTACAGAAAAATCACTGTGTAGTAGATATGCCCCAAATGAAAACACATGCATTCAATTATGCATAATTTAGCTTTGGTTATATCTAAAAACATTTTGTAAATCTTGCAGTATGCTTGTTTACTGCCTCTATAAGTCCTTCGCTTAAAACCCACCTAGACTTTCTGTGGCTGTCCAATCACAGACTTCCCAATGCAGCTCAATGAGAAGTCTTTACTAGGCAAGTGTTCTGGGCAATTTAAACTTGCTTACATGTCATTTCAAAGAGTAAATGGGCAAGGGTATCAGTTATCTCAAGAGTAATCCTAAATATAACATTTCAGCAAGAAAATCCCCTTTTCATAATTCCTTGTCTTTACTGAGGTGTTCGGTATCTAACTTGTGACTACATGGGAAGATACAATGAGCTTGCCATTTTGACTTTGGCAGTGAATCTGCACGACTAATGAAACGGTGTATAGTGTTTAGAAACTTCAGAAAGTAAACATAGCAGATGACTGCCAAAGTTCTAACATGAAAGACAAAAAGCTAAAAACACATTTCAATATGTGGCATTTTCTATCTATAGTAAACAAAGGCTATATATAGAAATTAATTTTAATGATTAAGTTGATAGCTAAATAATAATTCTCAATTAATTTAGAAACATGACAATGTTTGATATTCCCATTCAATTCAATTCCATTTTTAAAAGATACATTATTAACATCACTAAATATGCTTATATTTGCCCCATGACTTTCTTCTTGTTGCCTGTTTATTAGAGTTGTGAGCTTAGTACAAGGTTATGTTACTGGCAGAAAGATCAATAATTAGTAGAGAGTAATTGCCTTTGAAGTTAATAGTGATAAAGTCATTGTTCACTTTGGTTAGAACTGCATCGCTAGGTTTTAAGCACATCAGAAAATCCAAAAGGGCATCAATATAGCAACACACACACATGCGCGCACGCCAACTAACCATCAATCAGACAGGAACAATATCTGAACAACCTTGTTCAAAAAAGACAGAGAAGAGAGAGGAAGGGGAGACTTTAGGCCTATCTTCATGTCAATACCAAAATAGAGAAACAATATTTTATGTTCTCCTTCTAGCAAGCTCAGAGCAGTAGAATCTCCATATTATAGTTTGAGTTGGGTAAATTGGACATTGGGGTATGTGACATGACATCAGTGTTTTAAAGGGTCATGCATAATTTTACAACAACTGTCTCATTCAAACACTGTTCCTTTGAATGAGACAGCTGCCTAACTCTATGGGTTAAAAATGCAGGTATATATGATTTTTTCACATTTATCTCCTTCTCCTTTCTTATTCAATCAATACCCACAATTAGTGTCCTATTCCTAATAATGCTGGAAAACTGCATTGTGTATGCCAGACAGTTTTACACATGTGCAGTTTGGAAGATCTGACAGGGGCAGAACAGAGGGAGTCTGATAAATATGACCATAGAGAGTATGCTCCCGTCTTAGGTTTCTTTTTTTATGCTGCTGTACAATGATGCCCTGTTTCTGTCATTAGTGGGCTGAATGAAACTGAAATGGGTAGGTAAGGGATGGGAGGCTGAAGAAACTCCCCTAGATGAGAGGTGTGTCCAATGATGCAATCTGACCCAGTTTATAGTAAGATTATAAATATTCTTTACATACTTTTCAAAGTTTTTATATTTCCATTTTGTATATTTGTTTAAAAGTGTTTGCTTGCTGGTTTAATAATTGTCTAGTTGTGTATGTCCCTTTAACTCTTCAATATCTCATTCCAAAATGGGTCCAATCTGTATTATGTATTAGAAAAGGAAAAACTAATTTGCTTGATTGACAGTATGCATAATATTCCCTATGCATACCAGTCAGTCAAGAAAAATAGTTTTCTTGGTGTTATGTTCTAGTTATGTTCAACACACAGCCACTCAGAGCAAGAATTTTAGTTGTTTTGAAACTGGTATTGTTGATGGCTGAAATATGATATAATTTCAGTGATATTGTGCAAGTCAAGAGCAAAGCCATGTATTATTTTCTGTTGCTTTAATGTTTTAGAAGTTTGACCTTAAACAATAAATTCAATTTTGGGAGTAAATAGATGTCAAGTAAAGAATAACTTTATATTCACAAAGGCCCAGGGATCATTCGGTGGGGCACTGGAGAAGGAAACTTGGGTCTGGAAGAAAAGGGAATAAAAATGAACGATGACTGAAAATTAAAAAGCTACTGAAAATACAGAATGCAGATGGAACTCATTGGGCCCAGACCCAATACTTGGTGTCATGTGGTAGAATGAAGCAATGCAACAAATGTTTCCGCTGATATGAACTGTCTTTTACAAGTCATAACATTGTTAAATTGCACACAAAATA